CTTTCTCAGAAATTTCCCCAGTTCCTAATAAAGCTAAACTCTTCTTGTCTACACCATTGTCTCATCCATGCACTGAGACCCTGCAGTTTTGCCTGTCTAACTGGCCCCAGGCGTGGGATTGGAAACATCTTTGAAAATGCTACTGTGGAGATCCTGGACTTCAGTCTCTTTCCTAGCTGCTTAAATTTGGCCTCTCAGATCTCTCATATCTAGGACCATCCGTAGGGGGGCATAGGGCAACTTCCTCCTCCTTGCCCCCACTCCACTCCTTCTCTATGCCCTGCCCCTTTCTCCCCACCCCTGAGCAACATAAAACAGGATTACAGCAGGGGAAAGGGGATTGGGGAGAGGACTGGGCCCCCCCCCCCACCATGGTGGCCAAGGAGCCTAGTGTACTCCATCCCAGCCAGCTGCACTCTGCAGAAGCAGAGTACCCTGAAGTCAGGTCACTCTGTTTCCAGCTGTTGCAGAGAAGACAAGCACAGCAGGCAGGCAGAGGGTGGAGCCAGCATGCTGCTGGGCTGCTCTGGCTTCCACTGCTGTAGTGAGTACAGGGGCCAGGAGCTATCCCTGCTGCTGCCTTGTTCCAGGCCTCCAGTAATCTAGCCAGCTGCACTCTGCAGAAGCAGAGTACCCTGAAGTCAGGTCACTCTGTTTCCAGCTGTTGCAGAGAAGACAAGCACAGCAGGCAGGCAGAGGGTGGAGCCAGCATGCTGCTGGGCTGCTCTGGCTTCCACTGCTGTAGTGAGTACAGGGGCCAGGAGCTATCCCTGCTGCTGCCTTGTTCCAGGCCTCCAGTAATCTCCTGGGTCCTGCCTATAGGCCAGTTGAGGTGGCTGCTATGGAGCCCCTCTAAAGTGTGAGACCCAGGAAGCCACCCCAAGTTGTCCTAAAAATGGTATGGCTCTGCTCATACCCTTCCTGTGTCATTGGTAAATACATGACTCCTAAACTAGCTCTAGTTTCTTGTGTAAGTCCAGACCTGTATCTTTGGTGGCCACACATTTGTCATTTGTATATTGTAAAAAGGTAACAGCGCCTAAGTGAGGATGAAAGGAGTTACGAGATAAGGCAAGGGCGGCCTGTGGGGATACATACTGTAGTCTTAGGTTGCAGAAACTCCCTTTCTTTAGAAAGTATTCACGAGGAAAGCACCTGTTCGTGCTTGCAGCTATCAAGCCCGCTGCTTGGAGTTAGCCCGCCGTCC